AACACACAAGTTCTGAAGACTCGTGTAGATCTCTAGTTCTAGTTAATCCTAGTTGATCTAATTATAACAAAAACTAGATCATGTAATCCTCATAATTTGAAGCTCGGTGTGGTTCTAATCTCCTTCCTCTAATTCTTCGGCGATGATTAGCTCTGGACGGCGAAGCGTTGCGGGATCGTGAAAACCGTACGCTTACAATATGTGGAGAGGTTGTGCGTTCAGCCTTACGTTTGAGGGATCACTCATCGACTGTTTCAGTTCTCCAAGTATGATCTACACCGACTCATCTTCTTCCGTTGCAACTCGGAGTTGGTAACGATCCAATCCAAACCGTTATTGCATCTTCACGGTGTTTTTGGTTTATTGTAGGACGATTTTTTACTACTACGTTTCCTAACAACCCAGCCACATCCTTTCTCAACACTCGACCCCTAGCTCTAGCGTGACCATTTCTCTCTCTAAACAGGGAAAAAAAAGTCTAGCATGACCACCTCGAGCCCCAGGCTCCTTCATCGCCAACCTCCCGCGGCCTCCGCTACCGGATTCTCCGTGCCACAGCCGCCTACCTCCCTGCCTCCACCTCGACGAGGGGCCATGGGTAGAGGAAACTCTAGCGAATTATTTGGACTAATGAAAACTTTTCTGGAAATGCAATTTTTCAAAAGCAATGAAGAAAGAATGTATCTACTCCTTGTATGTGTGGACTATAGAATCCCCGGGATTATTGCACTGGAAAAGAAGCTCCACTGAGCAGTTGAACTGAAATATTTCCTTGCTTCCAAATTTTCTCATGAGAGATCTGTTTTCGGTACCCATGAATCCATGATACCGCGCCAAAATCTGCATTCAACCGTCGTTCTTCGCTAATATAGATATGATGTACTGATGCAAACTTGTGATTCTCTTGGAAACATACAACTAGTTGGATGTGATGCAAACCTGTAATATCTTGCACAAGCATCATCTCAGAAAGCACAGTTAATACTTTGCGCAAACATCTTTCCAGAAGCACAGTAGCAATCATGCAATCTAGATTCCTGAAACCATTATATGTCAGGTTATTCTTGTAATCCAGTCCTCCCTTTGAGCCAAATTATCCCAGTTTTTGCCTAACACTTTGGCAAACCAAAAGCTTCACGCAATGTACATGATAAAGCTCCAACGAACTAAAACATAGCTCTTGTACATATACTGCCAAAGAAAAAATACTCGCAGATTTTGCGCATTGAAATGTCTAGTACTCCCTCCGTCCCAAAATAAGTGTTGATGATTTAGTACAAAGTACATGCTCCAGTTATATGGTAGTTAAAACTGGTATAAGGTACTAGAGGAAATACTTCACACCACTGCTCTTCCTTGATGCCGCCCATGTCATGCACGACGTGGGTACAATCCATGAGCTTCCTTGTATCTTTCTTCTTTAAGTTACAGTTCTATTTCAAGGGAAACAGAACAAAGGTCAGCATGGAGATAATGAAGTATCTGAATATCAAATGAACAACTAAGACAAGTGTCTAGTACAATAATAGTAAGTATCATGTACGCTTGAAAGTCAAAATAGCATTTGTTCCGACCAAGGTTTTTAAAACCTCCAGGGGTATAGGTTAAATGCCTTCATATCCTAGACATTGAACTTTCCATTATAGTATTATACAGTGTGCAGCCCAGTCAACAACACCTCTGATCATAGAAGGACAAACGCCATGCAAGCACAAACTAACCGCAGTTAACTTGTACTCCCTCTGTTCCTAAATATAAGTCTTTTTAGAGATTCCAATACAGACTACATACGAAGCAAAATGAGTGAATCTGCACTCTAAAATATGTCTACATACATCCTTCATATTGAAATCTCTAAAAAGACTTATATTTAGGAACGGAGGGAGTATTATGTACTGGAAGGATAGTTTTCATTGTGATATATCTGAATCAGAAATTGAGCATAGAAATATACAATCCACTAAGCAAGCATACAGTGAAAATTTTCCTTCCAGCGGATAATACAATTTTAAAATATCGTGAGGAATCAGTCATATAGCTAACACAATTTTACGATAGTGTCATGGACAATATACATTACGAAACCATGTAAGCTCAACAAGAGCTGTGTAGAGATCATCTAATATGAAGGCCAGAAGACAAACCTTGCAGGATCATACTTGACCGTGGGGAATATGGGAGGCCAGATCATCATAAAAGGATGGATATCACGGTAACGAGTGCTTTTGTATTCATACACTTTACACAATGTCCTGCACCTGATATCCAAGTGCAGTACGCATCCACCCATCTGCAAGAACACAAAACCACCATAGTCCACCACCTGGTCCATGAGAAGAACAGTATGCCCATCCTTGATTGTGGAATCCGACTTCCTCAAATTAGCACACATTTCATGTAGACAGATGCTATCGACCGGCAACCAGTTGTCCCCCATGCGGAACCAGACGCGGAGTTGAAACACCTTAACATGGATGAGATATACACCAGAAGCATCACCAGCCCGTGACAATATGGTGGTGCCTCCGCTGCCATGCGCCACTCCTTGTGGAAGCTGAAGCGTGGAGAAACTCGACGTCGTCAAATCCAAGACAAGAATGCCGCTTGGGCCTGCCGCCATATAAATTTTATTGCCGACGAGCACAGCTTTTGGTGTTGATCACGGACGAGGGAGTTGGTCTATGTCCAAGAGATGATGCCTGCGCCAGGAACCATCCTGCATCATATATACGTGCATCCTAGATTCTCGGTTGCTAGACTCCACATACAGGTAGTAGTAGGACAGGCGATCCCCTTCCTTGGAGAGGACTTGTCTGAAAGTGCAGGAACTGCCGAAGGGGAGTTGAGGGCGTGGGAGTGATGGAAGGATGGCCAGACCTCCCCCATGGCACAGCGGGCGGTGCACCCCAAGTGCGCTCTTGTCTGTGTGCAAGGTGACGAATACGCTGCCGTTCCGGCAGTCCAGCATGCCGGGCGATAGCCTCTGGTATGCGCTGAAATTTGTGCGGCGGACGATCGCAGCGAGCTCCGCGGGCTGCGGCAACATCCGGACGAAGGTTGGTGGAGCGGAGTCACAGTACCTGTCGTCGATGTAGAAGCCGAGGAGGCGGGGCGGGTGGAGCTCGCGGAAACGGCGGAGGAAAGCGGGTTCGGAGGCGTGCCCCAGCCAGCGCTTGCAGACGAGGGCGGCGCGGACGAGGGTGGTGGGGAAGCCGATGTGGAGGAGGATCTCCACGAGGAGGTCGTCGTCGTCGAGCACCTTGGATACGGCTACGGCGGCCGCTGCCGGCGGCGTCTGGCTGTCGCCCTCCATTTTTGTGGGGTTGGGCGCACAGAGGGATCGAGGATGGTTGACCAAGGAAAGAGCCAACGGGTCGTTCTCCCGGGCCTTGCTGCTTGTCGTATCATTTGGCCTCTCTGACCGCATATGCTGGCTGTGCAACCATAATCTATTTAGGAGTGATTAGATGACCAATCAGAACCCGATGCTAAGAGTCGGACATACGTATACAGAATGAAATCGATGTCGCCCACGGGCTGCAAAGGCTATAAATCCATCTTCAAGCAGCATGTCTGTTGTGCTTGTGCCCGGCTCACAGCAAGAAGAAGCATCCCAAGAGATTTAAAGCTGGTTAATTATAAGGGTTCATGATCCTCAGTGTTGGTTGGCTGGGTGTTGTCGACATCTTCAGAGAGACATGCAGGGAGCTCCACTCCCGTCTTGCGAACGCGAAGTCGCCAACAATAAGACCCTTTAGTCTCTTATATAGACGAAGCTGACGAAGGCCGTGCGGCAGCTCGTCGAGGAGCCCATTGTGCCGCCGCCAACCATATCCGTGGTACGTTTCTGACTAACACACTTTGATCATTTCAAGGGGAAAAGAGTTTTTCACTGAATTTGTGTTTACTGCATCTTGTCAGATAATTGGATTCGTTGTCTGGCTAGTGCCATACCAATTACAGTGTTTAAGTAGTCTGAATCCCCTGGTTCTGCAGACTTCTGAATTCCAGGAATTTGTATACCAGTCCATTTTTGCGGAAAATACAGGCTTCAATGGTGGTAGATCTGTGATTGCGATAAAGGTAAAGCACTGGACACTTGTAAAACATTTTGGGCAAATTTTGCCATAATATTAATCCGAGACTTCTCCCAACACTTTGGCCAAATAAAACATGTAGGCAGGACAGACTTACATGTGAGTACATGGTAAATTTATATAAAACAGTTTGGTAAACAATATAACTCTTTTAGATGCCTAAAAAGTAAAAGGCTGCCGTGTGCTACTTACATTTTCTCTTCAAGGACAAGACTTTTTAGATGCATTCAATGGCAAGACTAGATAGATTAAACAGAGTGTGTATATCAAAATTGAACTATAAGCAGGTCCGTGCCTTTCAGTTTCCAGCAAAGAAAAATATGCTAAGATGGTAGCAACAAAGGATCATTACATACAAAAGCATTAGAATGCTTGGAAGGAAAAATATGACGACATAGACAGAGCATCGATCCCTCGATTTTCTCTTTAAAGGGGATTGAACCGGCCGACAATCTTTACATAATGAGCTATCAAATGGATCAGGCATCCACATATCATGTATGTGCTTGTTATAATGAAAATTATAACTACCATAATCTCTTCTGAAATCAAATTGCGCATCTCTTGAAGCTTTCTTATCTAGCTGTAGCCACCTGTGCTGATTATCCATCCATTTCTCATTGCAGGTATTACCGTAGACACCAAATTTCATTACCTCGAGTACCTTCGCATTCAGGACAAAGAACTTGGCAAAGTTAACATCTGGTCTCTTGCCTTCATAGGTTTCCAAGACTATTGCTCTGAGATGGAGTTCAAGGCATTCGATAGGATCAAGGGTGTCATATTGCTGCACATTTTTCATATCATCCCTAAGATGTGACTGCAAAATAGCAAGTAAAGCATAAACGCCACTTAGATCGCAATAAAAAGAGCAAATTTTTTGCAGGCAATAGAAGAGCAATTTCCTCATAGCTGCCTTTTCCAAATATCCAATCATATTTGGATTAGTTGCATGATGTGTGAATTGAGGATTATTGAACAATATAGTGCCCTAACACATTACTTTTAACTTCAATTCACACATGTTTTGATCACTAGATTTATCATCATAAAATTTGCGGAAAATTCCCCTAAAAAATTGTGGGAAATCACCCAAAAAACTTTATTGTGGAAGTTAATTACTAAATTTATTATTGTTTCCATATGCTCCAAACTAGACATTCAGAGAAATATGACTGATCAAAATTAAAAATTCATATAGTTAGTTTTAATAATAAGTTCTTTTGGAGTGATTAGCATTTAGCGAAAAAATATTTCACCTGGATGTACAACTTATCTGTGCAAGGAAAGCATCTAAGGAATCAAACAACCGTGTCCAGTTTGGGGCCAATAGAATCTAGAACCAAGATCCTCACTGTGCGCATCGAAGTAGTCAAGCTGATGGGGATCATTTCCTGGAGAAAACGAAGAAGATATATCAGGCTACAATGCAAATAAGAATGCGAGTTTCAAGAAGATTTGTTATACCCACTAGTAGAAAAAGGGCCTATAGTCCCGGTTCGTAAGGGCCATTAGTCCCGGTTTTGGAACCGGGACTAAAGTGTCGGTACTAATGTCCTAAACCTTTAGTCTCGGTTCTTGCATAAACCAGGACAGATGGGCCTCCACGTGGACGGTGCGGGCGAGCCCAGGCAGGAGGCCCTTTGGTCCCGGTTGGTGGCACCAGCCGGGACCAATAGGCATCCACACGTCAGCGTTTCAGGTGTTGGGGTTTTTGTTTT